TCAGTTGTCCTTTTGTAACAGATCTAGTTGAATGACCACTTCCAGAATTTGATTTGAGCAGCAATGCACAGAGAGTTCCATAATTGGCACCTTGGAAGATCTGAAAATATAAATTAATACCACTGTTTCTGCACAGATTTATTTAGGACCCACCATCACACTTCACTCAGTTTTTAACTTTGTCCGAATCTTTTTGATTCTTGTCCTTGATCAGATGTTTTCTTGTAGATTTTCTGTGTTTTGGATTATTGTCTTTTTGCACAAATATTTTTATCCGAGCTCAAAGCTGTTGGACAGATGGCATTTATTTATTTTTTGAAATACAGAGGAGTTCATGGTCAGCTCATTAAATGCAGATTGCCCACGTTCTGTGGCTGCAAAATAAATCCAATCTCAAAGGTTTACTATTAGTAAGAGCCTTTTATTAACTTTGTAAAATGTGCTGTTTGGTTTTATGATTGCTTTYTGATCAAAACAGAGTGGCTGAAATTTGTAAGGTATTTTCTGAAAATGTGTCAACATAGTGTAAAAAAGAATCAAGTGTTTTTCAGAGCTTTTATCCTCATTGTAACCTTTCTCACAAGTTTTGCACGACTCATAAAATGATTATAATGCTATAAATGGAAGATATCTGTGGGTAATATTTAAAATATCAAAAATCTTTTATGTAAAACGAATTCTCTTAGTTTTAAACTGCTATTTTTTTACGAAAATATACAGAAAACAGTTAAAGTGGGCCTATTATGGGGGTCCTAGCACAAGTTAAGATCCACCTGTGGGCTATACAAAACATGTTCATTTGATTTAATTCACAAAACAATCTTAAATAATGAAATTTCACCTTTTCAGTTCTGCCTGTTCTTCAGCTCTCTCCAGAATGTGCTGTATGCAGAAGTTGCAATGGAAACCCCACTCCCATCCGTTTGTTTACGTTAGCTCCACCCCCGACATGGTAGAAGTTTCCAAAATGAAATTATTTTCACAAACTACAGCTTTCTTTGGTACGGAGCCCGTGAGGGGACATGGGAGATTTTTTTTCTTTTGCGTTCCCACGCAATAGTATTGCGTTACCTCGCATTACTTTTGCGTTCCCTCACAAAGTAGTTTATCACTGTTGTGCCTGCCGGTTTATTAGCAAACTCACATGTTTACCGTTAGCGTGTTAGCGTACTGCTTTAATTCAGCTTCAGAATGAATATATCACACAGCCATGCATGGAAGTATGTCATATGCTGATATTTTAACACAGTACAGACATCAATGTCAATTTCACGAACTAGTGGCGAGACATCCTGTTTTAGTAACCGTGTATTTCAAAATAAAAGTCTTATTTAATTCAGTTCATATACAAAAACATCTTTTGCATGGGAATGCAAAATAATATTGCGTGGGAATGCAAAAGTATTGAGAGGGAACGCAAAGGTATTGCGTGGGAATGCAAAAGGGAGAAAAATCCCCCCGTGTCCCCTCGCAGGCTCCGTACTTTGGTAATATTGTAAGAACGTTGTCATCAAAGATAAAAATAAAATGAATCCAGGCATCTCTGTTCTCTGTGGCTGCTGTTTTTTTGAGGAAGTGGGCGGAGCTTCACCTCAGGTTGCCTCGTGAGGAGCAGGACTCTGGTTTAGGT